CTTCCCACCCCGAACTGGTGTGCCACAGAGCGGTAGCTGTCCGGTGTGGCCAGCTTCCACAGCGCGATGGCAACCCTCTTGTTGACGGGGATGGGTGCCTGTAGCCGGGTGGCGGTTCTCTGCAGCGCGGGGGTGAGCCAGGTGCACAGCGTCATGAAGGTTCGCTTCCTCATCTGAAAATTCCGGATCCACTGGTGGTCGTCCCATTGTCCGAGGACCACACGGTCCCACCAGTCGGTGCTCGTCTCCAAAGTCCAGATGGGCCGGTCTATGGTAGGGTGCTGATGCCACGCGGTTGCCAGGACCTCCCTGGTGAGGGAGTCCAAGGCGATCTCTGCCTCCTGGTATATGAACGCCAGGGCACCAGCCTGCAGCACGAGCTCCAGGCACCTGTACAGGTCCAACAGGGGCCCGAGCAGATACATGGCCGCCCATACATGGCCACCCACGGCTGCAGGGCAGAAAAAAGAAGACGCTGGGAAAAGCTGTTGGGGGCCAAAGGGTGGTGTCCCCAAAACTCACAGGGCAACCACCGACCCTGTGAAGGGTGCCAGTCCCTGGCAGAGGTCACAAGGCACAGGAGCACGAGACCAACGGCTGCCCGGCGAGACCCCTTTAACCATGCGTCTGGACGGAGCTCCGGCCCCACCCCCGGGAAGGTCAAAATGGTTCCAGGCTTTTGCTTTTCTGGAAAAGCGCGCCGCCAATGTAGACGTGTTTTTCCGGAAAAGCGCATCGTTATCACGGAAACTCCGTGGCCAATGTAGACGCTCCTTTTCCAGAAAAGCTGAAAACGGAATAGTATTCCATTTTAAGCATTTCCGGAAATTCATGCCAGTGTAGACGTAGCTTTACAAAAGCTGCCAAGCGCTGCAGAATCAGGCCCTTTGATTGCTATGTTTATTCATTTAAATTTTTTTCGTTTGATGTAGAATAAATGAAAAGCACCCATAAACTGGTTCTATAGGCCCTGCAAGCTATTTAAAATTACAAAACCAAAATGCAATGCCGTCAGTGCTAACAATACTCTCATCTCTTTGAAAGCAGAGATTTGTTAGTCATTAGGTAACAGCATATAATAGCAAATACAATAGATTTATTTAGAAATTAGGTCACACTTTTTAATAATACTATACAAAACATTGTATATACACACATACCTAAAGAGTTTTGCTGTCATTGTGTATTCTGATTTTGTACTGTATAGTACAGTGATTATCACCTTCTCGTGTCTTTGTCTCCATCTAAGGCACAAAACAGTGAATATAGAAAGCTTAAAAAATACAGCATTAATTAATAGTTTATGCAAAAAAAAAATGAGATTGCTATAGCGTACATTTAAAAAGTAACTGTGTCTAGTTTACAAAAGGTTAGTCCTTTCAGAGTGCCTTTGGCCATATTTGATCTGTCCTTTATGTGCAACTTCATTAGGCAAAGCTTCTATCTAGAATGGGCATCTCCTGAACCCACTTAGGTATCTTGACTTCAACAGAGTAAATATATTTCCAGGAACAAAACTGACATGAGTGTGTGTATTATCTAATTAGCACAAATTGTTCTGTTTGCTAACAGTATCTTCTGAATATGACTTGATGCACAACATATTTCAAGGCATAACAATCTACTGAAAATCAATTATTGCATGGTTAAAAAACAACAAATGAAATTTTAAATAGAATATAGTAGATCTATAGATCACTCTTGTAATGTTGTTTCCTTTTTGTTTGCAGAGGTGTTGTCAGCCATCATTAGTGTTTTGCTGGTATATATCCTAATGGTGGTGTTCTTATATGAAGCTGTTCAAAGAACTATCCATATGGACTATGAAATTAATGGAGATATAATGCTTATTACAGCAGCAGTTTGTGTTGCCTACATTAAGATTCCTTGTATACATTTACAAAATGCAATACATAAATTTATTCACAGTCTGTAATTTAATTTGTATTGAATCAGTTTCAATCACCTTGGAATTTTATTTGTATGCTAGTGTGGTTTTTTTGGGGTCTCTTCATGTTCTAAAAATGAGACATGCAGTAGTAATGAATCAGAATATTTTCTCCATCCTTTGATCAAAATACTTAATAATCCCTCTGCTCTGATTCCTTTTCCTCTCATTTTCAGAATGGGATTTCTACTGAATCAGTCAGGTCACCTTCATTCCCATTCACACTCCCAAGTACCTCCATCAAACACTCCTAACACAGCCCATGGGCATAGCCAGGGACACGGCAGCCTTGCAGTGAGAGCAGCATTTGTACATGCCCTGGGGGACTTGGTACAAAGTATTGGTGTGCTTGTAGCTGCATACATCGTCCGCTTCAAGGTAGGATGTTGCTAGTATTTGTAACTGTGGACTAGTCTTTTCTGACTATGGACATTTCTAATGTTAACTCTCATACTAGTTGTAAAGAGCCATTATGTAAGAAACAGAAATATTCAGTATTCAGTTAATTTTCAGAACATGAGTTCAGATTAGACCTCTATCACCAGTAATACAAATTCATCCAACATGAGTTCAGATTAGACCTCTATCATGCACATATTTTTAAAATATTCTTCAATGGAACTAAATATAAAATAAAGTGTGAGATAAAAGTAGCTGACTCTTACTGGACCTAGTCTTTTTAAAATCTTTACAAGAAGCCTGTTTCCTTACAAACTCTTAATCTGTGTCTTGCAGCCAGAATACAAGATTGCTGACCCCATATGTACTTACATATTCTCAATACTTGTGGTTTTTACGACAGTCCGGATCATCAGGGATACAGGCATTATTATACTGGAAGGTAAGATCTTTATGAATTCTGTGATAGTCTTCTTTAATTTTACATCTCAGCTAGCAGTTAAAGTAAAAATTTGTGGCAATGGCTAATTCTTTATTTATCTGTTGTACAAAATGTTCACTAAGAATATTTAAATTATATTGAATAAGTGATCACAGACATCATAGTTCAAGATTCTTGGATGGGTTACAAACTTTTACATGGCATCAAGCAGAACTTGGCTATAGGGCTGATTTATCCAGCCATCAGAGGATTGCCCCAGTGTAGGGGTGTCCAAGTGTGTTATAAGGGTCCTGGTGCCTTCCTCGTACTCTGGCAGGGCTGGGGCTTCCCTTTGCCCCACTGTTGGGTCACTGGGAGCTGGTATATCTTAGAGCAGTGTTCAGGCTACTTTAACTTGTGCCAAGTTGCTAGATGCGTACCTGGCACACAGCTTGTGCAGAATTTGGAAGGCAAAAGTGAAATTCACAGCACTCCGATATTCTCCCTTCTCCACCCCCTACCTACTATATGCTTCTCTGCCACAGCCAAGCACCTGATTTCACATTTTACTTTATCTAGAACATTAAAATTCTTATAAATAGGCAAATCTGGATCAAAAAGCTGCGCACACAGGCTTTTACTCCTCAAATTTTCCACCATTATTTTTGCACCATTGTTGCAATTCTATTGGTGGTATCAACAGTAGAAGCACGGGTTCAGATTCGTCATTGTTTTTCAACTGTTATGTCATCTTACCCTATGCAGAGCAGAGCTAGACAACATTGGGGTTAAAATGTTAGCAGCCTCCAGTGCATTCTTTTAACTAGCAGTCTAAATGTTACTACCCCTAGTGGAAATGCAACTATGATAGTGTGTGTGTGTGGGGAAGCGGGTATGTTAGGGAGAAAGGACTAATGCAGCTATCACCCTAAAGTTGTTGGGTATCTAACACTCTGCTTTGTTGAATTATGGTTCATTTAAAAAACTCTGAACAGGGCCTCACCAATGTTGATAGTCAATTTTTATCTTAATAAATAAAATAAAAAGTTCATTGAGAGGGCAAAAACAATGACTGTGCCTACAATTAAGACATTTCAATTAGTTCCAGGGTAATGGTATTTAGATTTTACCTAAGAAAACAGATAAGACAACTAACAGATGCACCAGATTTCATATTTGAATTCTAGTGATTTGCATAGTCTTCCTGAATTAACTATAAGCGATGAAAGGTAGTTCTTAGATATCATGTACTTTTGGGAACTTTTTCAACTCAGTTTTAGCAGCTCCAAAAAAGTAAATATGCATTGGTTTGTTTTGTCAGAGATCATTGTTCAACATCAGTGTCTATGGGGCTCAGTAGGTTTTCAAAATGCATTTAACCTAAGCCACACTGTTAAAGTGGGAATACTAAATTTTAAAACTTGATTGCATAATATTAGCAGCTAGATTCTATTTTTTGTATGCATTTTAAAAGCTGGCACAGTGGACTAGTGGCAACTCATTGTGTGAGATTAGCATTTAGGTCCAGGTTCCTTGGGGTAAGAAATGCAGCAGAAACAGCCATCAGGCACTTGCTTATTTAACAGGTAAGTAACTTTGCAACAGCCTTCACCAGAATGGACAATGGGTAGTTGCTTATCCTAGAGTTGCTCTTTGCAATTAATAAATCTGAGACAGTCTCAAATACTGAGTTCAAGAAGAGATACTGGAACAAACTAGTCATTTAAGTTGTGATAAGACAGCCGTTTCGGAGATAATTCATATAGGCTAGACTGCTAAATATATATACAGTATATACTCGTTCATAAACCAGATTTTTTTTGTAAAAATTCCCTATGCAAAGAGTGGGGGTGGGCTTATGATCAGGTTATTGCGCTTCACATATTTTTTCCAGTGTGGGGAGGAGTCAGGAACTTCAATTTCCAGCCTAGCAGGGCAAACCACTGGTGCGCCAGGAGGTTTTATATAGGTGAAGCATCTCCCAATCGCTTCCGTTTGCCATTCTGGGTCATCGGGAGCAGTGGGAAGCAGAGACCAGCACATCCTTTGGCCCACGCTACTTCCTTAGCTCCTATTGGTTGGAAACCGTGAACAACAGCCAATGGGAGCTGAGGAAGCAGCGCAGGCCAGGGGACGTGCTTGCTACCTCTTTCCGCTGCTCCTGTTGACCCAGAATGATGAATGGCAGCTGACAGGCTCCTTGCCTGCAGATGCTCCAAGTACTCTAATGTCTTGGCATGCCAGCTGTTTGTCCCACTGGCTTGAGAAGTGACCATGCTGTGGATTCTGCTGTTTCTAAAAGTTGGAGTCAGAAGAAAAACACAGAAGTTTTAATAGATTTATTTTAATGCAATCTAACAAAAAACCTGCTGCAATAACTGAACAAATATGTATTCACAAGTCATCAAAATTACAATCCATGTTTGAGTCTCATATCATTCTAATGCACTTATTTAAAGTCTTAAAATCCTTCAAATGCTGAATCCGTCTCCAGTTCACTAGTTCATTAAACTCAGTTTCAGTCATAGCTGCTCCTGCATTGTCGTCATTGATGGCAGCAATGTCATCCTCCGATTCCTTATCATCAGCCTCCATTGTGTCATCAGCAAATATGGCGTCGTCTTCTGCTCCACCAAGTGCATTGCTGATACAGCATTTCCTAAATGATTTTTCTATCATTTCCAAGGGAATGGTCTCCTACGCATCCTTGACCCACTGGGCAACCAGATTGATTTCGGACTTCATATAATTCCCAGCTTTTGTCAACTTCGTCATGCCTGAGCACATCCAGTTAGACCACATTTTGTGTCGCCTGTCCTTAAACACTTTTTTCCAGACAGACATCAAGTGGTTATAAAACAGAAGTTAAGCCTCCAGGTCAGGGGTGGACAAGATACCTCTCATGGGCCAGATCCGGCCTGCCAAGCCACTGGATCCTGCCCGCAGACACCCTGCCAGGACCCTCAGGCCCGCAATGGCCAATGACTTAAGCACAGGGCTGCTCCTCATGCCTCTCTGCTCTGGAGGGAGGGGGAGACTTCAAGTGACCTCCCTGCCCCCAGCCCAAGCCTCAGCTCCTGTTGGCCAGAAACAACTGACTCTACCCAATCTCTCAGCTCTTATTGGCCAGAAACAACCAGCCAATAGGAGCTGAGAGATTAGCTTGGGTGATGGGGATAGCGCAAGCCTTTTCCCCCTCCTGGAGCTGAGAGCCACATGGAGAGAGTTGTCTGCAGTTTTAAGCGATCTGAGGCTGCAGCAGGCAGGGAACCCAGCCTGCCTTGGAGGTGCTGCAGGCCAGGAGAGCTTAGGTAAGTGCCTCCCAGCCAGAGCTTGCCTCTGGCACTCCTGCCCCTCTTGCATCCCAACTCCCTCCCCCAGGACACCATCCAAACCCTCTGCACAAGGTCACAATTCCCTCCCAGACCCTATACCCCCTCCTAAATCCTTCCCCAAGGCCAGAATCCTCTCCTGCACCCACACTCCCTCCCTGACCCTGCACCTGTACCCTCTGACCCAGGTCACAGCCCCCTCCTGCACCCAAATACCCTCTCAGTCCTCACACTGTCTCCCTTACCCTGTATCTAACCCTTCTATATCCAACTTCCATCCTAGACCCTGTACCCCTCCACAGAAAAGTGTGGCCTTTGACCACTTTCCAAAATCTTGGAATGTCCCTCCCACACCAAAAAATTATTGCCCACCCCTGCACCAGGTATTATGATCAAAGCGATTTTCATTTTTTTGGCCACATGTTTCAGCTCATCCATCCTGTGCGCCTTGAACAAGCAAAGAAGGTTTCTTGAGAAGTGCTCCTGGACTCCTATCCATACTTTTTCCAGCCATTCAGCAATACCACTTTCATCCATCCATCCCTTGTCATGTGCACGCATGATGACACCTCCAGGAAATGTTATGGTTTTAGGCAAGGCTTTTCTTTTGAAAATAATAACAGGGTGGAGCTTTGATCCATTGGCCAAACATGATAAAACCTCTGTAAAATGGATTTTTTCATAACCAGTGGTTTTAATTAAACCCGTTTTTCACTGACACCAATTACTGTTCTGTTGCTCAGGAGATAAATGTCATCGGTGTTTCATCCATATTTCCTATTTGTGACAGCTCAAATGCATATTCCTTTTGAGGTTTTATTATAAACTTTTGGAAAAATTCACTTTTTTTCTTCAAGATCTCTTGGCAGCTTTTGTGCTTTCCTTGTTCACTGCCTATAACAGAGACCATGGCAGTTCATGAAACGAGTACACCAACCTGCTGATACTATAAACACTAATGGCTTTTCTGACTTGTATTTGTTGTCTTTTTACATTTGCAAAGCAGGCAGACGAATTCCAGTTCTAGTGACAAGGTACCCATTTTGTCGACATTCAACGACCCAATCATTGAGATCTTTCTCCAGCCCAGGAAATGAAGCGCACCTTGTTGGACATTTTTTGTTGCTTCTTGGCATGTCTTTTAGTGTTGCTTTATTTTTTTGCCATTCTCCAATTTGTTTCATGGATGCAGAATTCACGGGCAGCAGCCCAATTATTGTTTGCTTCTGCATATTCAACAACTTTAAGTTTAAATGCTTCATCATAAGCAGACCATTTTCTTTTTATTTCACTGTTGTTCATGTTAAATTCTAGCATGAAAATCTTAGAAAATAATTTACACATTTTGTAGAACTTTAGAGAGGAATGTTACCTACTTTACCACTGTCAGATTACAATTGTTCATTGTTTATTTCAAAGAAGCTCTGCAGACTGGCATGTCGGGGGTGATAACAGACTATTTACATTTTATTAAAGATTTCAGTTCTGCATATTTTATTTTCAGATTGCCTAGAGACTTAGAGGGGGTCCTGTGGTCAACATGCACAAAGAGCTCAAATTATTCAAGAACAGACTGACAACAGTGCCATAGTACTGTCATTCATTGTATTTTTTGATTGTCTTGTAAGGTCTAGGGATGTAAACGACTAATCGACTAGTCAACTATCCGATAAGCAAATGCTTATTGGATAGTCGACACACTAATTGACTAGTTGCTTCCCCTCCTTGCTGCCTCTGTCACAAAAAGGCAGCAAGGTGGGGAAAGAGGAGGTGGTGCTGGAGGGAGCCAGCTTAAAAGCTCCTTCACTGGGGCTCTTGTACATTTCAAAGCAGAAGCGCCGCATGGAGCCTGGGGCCAGCAGGTGACTCCCCACTGGCCCTGGGCTCCATGGGACGTACCAACTTTGAAATGTACAAGGGTCCCCAATAGAGGCTCTTGTGTATTTCAAAGAGGAAGTGCAGTGTGGAGCCTGGGGCCAGTGTGGAACTCTGAGTCCCCCACTGACCCCAGACTCTGTGCAGCGTTTCAGTCTTGTACATTTCAAAGGCGGAACACGGAAGTCCTTATGGACTAATCGAATAGTCGATGGAAATCCCATTGGCTATTTGATTAGTTAATTCATCGAAATTTAATCTCCTTAGTAAGGTCTAGCACGTTGTGAAGTGGAAGGGTCACATTTCATGTGGATATAATTTCAATAAAAGTAAAACCGTAGCTCTTTTTAAAAAAGAAGCGAGTCCTGAATTGCGTCTACAACAGGGGTCAGCAAACTTTGGCTCCCAGCCTGCTAGGGCAAGCTGCTGGCACGCTGGGAGATTTATTTGCTTGCAGAATCTGAGGGACATGCTGGCTGCAGGCACGGAGCTTTTCAGCTTCCATTGGCTGGGAATGGCAAAGAGCAGCCAATGGGAGCTGAAAGGCTCAGTGCCTGCAGCCAGTGTGTCCCTCAGCCTGCATTGACGCCGACAAGCTGGGACTGGAAGTTTGTACAATGCCGATACAGAGTCAGCTTACAAATGGGTCATTGACTTTCTAACATTTTTGTCTGTGAGTTGGGAGAGGTCGGCTTATGAATGAATTGACTTATGTTTGAGTATATATGGTAATTAAAATAATCTACTGTACCATAAGACTGGAGAGTACCTATATGTATAATATTTTTAAAATATGTTAGGGATGATTATGGGGATTATTTTAATATTGTAGTAAAATTATTAATTGGAAAACTGTAAAAATAGCATTGGAAAAATATATTTATAACCATCTACAGTAAATGAACAAGAGAGCAGCAACAAAATAGTGGATTATTTCTACATATTGATGTGTTCTCAATTAATTGTAACCCTTGAAAGACAGAGGAGTCAATGGAAATAGATCAATGAAAACATTGCTCGGTCCTTGTCATCCTGTTTCTAAAAAGATAGAGCAGAAATAAAAAAAGGTCCAGAGAAGAGGAATGAAAATAAGTGAGATTTATTGACAAACTGGTCACACTTTATATTAAGTTTCCATTTATAGCTTGATTAATAGATGTTTTACTAAATGATTAAATTGGTTGTTATAGATTCTCATAGATGAGAAGGTTTTTAAACCATGTCTGGTAATCATCTATAACAGTTGCTAATGATGATCTTAAAACCATCTATAACATATAACATACATGCCTAATGACTGTAACATATAGAGCTAGCCAAATTTACTGGTGGAAAATGAAGTTTTTGTGAAAATTGAGAGTGAAAATTGAGATATTGTTCATTATGGAAATGTTTAAAACTTTTTCTAGTTGTGAGAATCATATTAAAGAATTTGTATCAAGTTGATGTTTTGAAATGAAGCAATGTTTTTTGTTCCAAATTGTGAATTGGAAACATTTTTTCATTTTAAAGTGTTATTTGAAAAGAAAAAAATGTCATTTCAAGAGGAAAACATGTCTTAACGTAGAATTATTTTGATAAAAGTTGCCAACATTTTTCATGTTGCCATTTACAGTTTGAAATGTTTTGGAATTGTTTATTCCATGTATTTTTTCAATAATTTGCTTTTCCATTCTGCTTCAGAACAGAAACTAAATTTTGAAATATTGAGACTTACCATGAGGCAAAAATTCCAGTTTCTGACTGGAATGTTCATGTTCATAGAGTTTTAGTAGTCATATATTAATCTTTATAAATGATTTATGCTCAATATAAAGGGTGACCAAAAAGCTTCCATAGTATGTTTAAAAGGTTTAAGACAGTTTTCTTAAACTTTTTAAGACCGAGAAACACCAAACAATAATTTTTTTAATGAGAAACACCAAGGATTTTTTGTTGGGGGGGGGGGGGGGGCTATTGAGCCCTCCCCCCCAAAAAAAGGTTGCCTGTTCCTTTAAGGGCACCATTTTGAATTCTATTCTCTGCAGAACACCTCCGAGAGCCTCATGCCGCGGAATACAGTTTAAGAAACACTGGTTTAAGAGTATTTAGAAAGGATATTAAGATGTGGCATGTTGGATGTATATATTACTTAGTGACTGGTGTAGGTATGTCATTTGGTGCTTCTTTTTTTCCCCTCATGACACAATGAAATTAAAAAGGTAGCAAATTTCAAAAACTGATAAAAGAAAAAAACTTTTTATACCACATATAATTAACTTGTGAAATTCACTGTGTCAAAGAACACGTTAGGAATATTTTTAAAAAGGATGAAAAAGTTGCATGAATAATATTTGCAGTTACATTAGCTAAAATAAATAATTATAAGTTATATCAATTTATAAGTGATATTCATCGACTACCTGGCTATAGAAGAAACTTTCCCCAGACACATGTTATTGCATAATTGTCCATCATGAGGGGGTTTTATATCTTTCTTTGAAGTATCTGGTATAGGGATGTGAAATTTCGATTAGTCAATAAGCAGAGAAGCCTCAGCAGGGTTAGCTCCCGGCCCCAAGAGCTAACCCCGCTGTGGCTCTGCCTTTTAAATGTAGGCTCTTAATACATTTATAAGGTTGAAGCACAGCAGGGGAACCCAGCATGAACCAAGGATCAGTTGTCCCGGCTTGTGCCTAGTCCCCCCGCTGTGCTTCTGATTTTTAAACGTATTAAGAGCCATCAGGTTCCAGAGGCACAGTGTCTGGAACTGGGTGCAAGCTGGGAATAAGCTAATTCTCGACACACGCCCAGTCCCTGCTACCCCCCTGCCTCCCTTTCCCCACTCAGAGATGGTGCTGGGGGGAACCAGCTTTTAAGCCGGCTCCCCCAGCACCGGCTCCTGCTCCTTCTAATAAAGGCAGGAAGGGGAAGGGGAGCAATTAGTCGAGGGACTAGTCAACAAGTCACTTACATCCCTAATCTGTATACAGCACTGTCACATGGAAGATTCAGAGATGGTGGGGACAGTTGTATAGTGAACAAGAATATCCAGCTTTTGCGCTCTCTCTCTCTCTCTCTCTCTCTCTCTCTCTCTCTCACACTCACACAAAATATAATTTTGGGAGGTATGTACTTCAAGATGTAAGCTAACAGGAGGTAGGATGAGATTGTTAGGGATAACAGGTGCAAGCAATTCTTGGAGACAGGATTCTGGACTAATTGGACCCAGGTCTGAGATAACAGGGCAGTTCCTATGTTATTGGACTGGAAGGATTACTGTTCTGATTCAAAAGCTTCAGAGGGATAGCCTCTGTTAGTCTCTAACTGGAAAAACAACCAAAAACAACCAATAGTCTTGCAGCACCTTAAAGAGTAACAAAACATATAGATGTTATCATGAGCTTTTGTGGGCACAACCCAATCCTTCAGATGAATGGAGTTATTAAAGGTCCAGTTTCTAAATAAATAGGGGACTAGGGGGGAAGAGAGAAGGAAAAAAAGGGGAAAGATATAGTCAATTAGGATGAGTCTACACAGCAGGGCTTAACTTGAAATAAGCTATGCAAATTGAGCTACATCAATTATGTAGCTTATTTCAAAATTGGGAGTGTCTACTCAGCACTTATTTCGAATTAGAGCACTCGTCCTCCGACTTCCTTTACATGTACAATGAGGGCTACAGGAGTTGGAATAAGAAGTCCTCCAGGTTGACAGCATTTTGACATTATTTTGAAATAATGTAGCATGGACACTCTGCCTATTTCTTTCTCCTTTTTTCCCTTCTTTTTCCTTCTCTCTTTCTCCCCACATCCCCTATTTATTTAGAAACTTGACGTTTAATAATTCTAGTCATCTGAAGAAGTGGGTTGTGCCCACAAAAGCTCATGATACCATCTACATGTTTTGTTGGTCTTTAAGGTGCTGCAAGACTATTACTTGTTTTTTAAGTTTGTTCTGATTCAGTATGGCAATTCCTATGTTCTTCACTGATAATTAGATACAACTAGGCACTTTAAATGTTACAAGAACTATTTGTTTGTCTTTTTGTGATCTTTCATAATAGTCTACTTTAAAAGTCAGTGTATATCTTAACTAGAAACAATTAATTTTCTCTCATTCTAATATTGTAGGGGTTCCAAAGCATTTGAATGTGGACCGCATTAAAGAAGACTTAATGAAAATTGAAGATGTTTATTCAATAGAGGATTTAAATATTTGGTCTCTCACTGCAGGAAAAACTATTGCCATAGTCCACTTGCAATTAGGTAAATTACTTCATATTATGCCTACTACTGTGATACAGTTATAGATAAGCCTTAGCTGCACTAAGGACTTTGACTCTGTCTTTATGCTTCTGATTAAATTGAGCCATAATGTATCCATTTCGGGAAGAATGCTTTAACTATCCTTTGCATAGAAAATGGCTTGCTTTTAAAATACGGGCAGTCCCCGGGTTACATGGATCCGACTTACATCGGATCCCTACTTACAAACGGGGTGAGGCAACCCCGCACTAGCTGCTTCCCCCCAGCAGACCAGGGAGACGTGAAGCTAGCGCCCCCCACAGCAGACCAGGGAGATGTGGAGCGGCTTTTCTCAGCAGACACCTCAGCTTGAGAATAAAGGACTGAGGGAAGTGAGGTGTGGGAGAATAAAACTGAGCTCTGGAGAAATGTTTGGCTAGAGTTTCCCCTACAATATGTACTAGTTCCGACTTACATACAAATTCAACTTAAGAACAAACCTACAGTCCCTATCTTGTACGTAACCCGGGGACTGCCTGTATACAAATCTTCTCCTATCATAGATATACTATAGAGAGCCTTGCAAGAAAACTAACTGCTCACAAGATCAGGAGCAAATACCATTTGATCAGATTGCTAAAAAAAGAAAAGTTGGTTTTGCAGTGGGTTTTTTTCTGTCACAAAAAAAATGTAGGTGATAAAGCAAAATAAAATCCTTTGAATAAAGACCAACACAGTCTTTTCTATGCTAACCACCCAATTCTGATATTGCACCCATGGAAAAAAATAGTGGGTGCTCAGCTAACTGGCCTGATTTTTCCAGATTTATTCTGAAAAGTTCCTGCTGGTTCTAGGCCACATATGTTTGAAGTTGCCACCACTGTTTGGTGGCTGGAGAAGGAGTTTGGAGGGGAAGGGTTGAGCAGTGAGTGGGTGAGGGCCTCAGGAAGAGGGAGGACTGGGCAGGGAAGTGGTGGAGCGAGAGTGAGGCCAAAGAGGTGGGGTGGAGGCTCAGGGCAGAGCGAGAGGGGAGCATCCCCAGGGAAAAGAAAATTTCAGCCAGTGTTCCCTATAAGCAGGATGCTTGTGCGGTTGCTCTGGAGAGATTCAGATGCCACCCAACTGATTAGCAGAGCACCCACAGCTAGGTTTGTTGTTTCTACTGATGGTGCACATTCACACATGTCTCAGTGCATATAAAATTATTCTGCACATGGATGGGAACACATGGATCGAAAAAATAAGAGGGAACATTGATCTCAGCATCTCTGTGCAACATAATTGTAAGCCTAAAACCAGAAATTCAGTGCCCTAAATAGCCCAATGTTAGTATAAGTTTGCTAAGTCTTGGAGTGGCTGGTAAGATCGTGTGCTGTGCCTGTGTTTTCGCAATGGTGAGCTTGCAAGTGAAAGTCACACCAGAGACAGGAGCTGAATCTGGTATGTTCTTTTCTCTTCCCTTTGGTATGTGTTTGTTTTGTTTGGTCTTTAGGAAACAGACTAACAGCAGCAGCAATGACAGCCCCAGCCCATCTCAACTAATTTCTTTTCCTCAAAAGGAACAGTTCTGACTCTCTTTGAAACTATCTTAAAGACTATCAGACACGGGTCTTTTTCCTTCTAAAAACTTATACAGCTAAAGGGAAAAGGAATGTTGTTAAAATGAAAACCTTATTTAACATTTTACCTTTCAAATGCTTTAATTGTTTTCAGGGTTGTTTTTTTTATGTTGCTCATAAAAAAGTTAAAAGGATTTTTAATGGTGTTTTTCCCATGATACATGATAAGCAGGCTGTGGTCTCTGTGGCTATGTCTACACTACAGGTTTTGGCACAAAAACAGTCGTTTTTGCACAAAAATCCACAACGCGTCCACACCTCAAGCATGTTTTTGCACAAGTAAATTTACAGTGAATCGACAGAACAGAGGGCCTTTTGCAGTATAGGTTTTCTTCTTTCTACGAGGAATAAGCCTTTTTGCGCAAAAGCTCTTGCGCAAAAAGGTGTGTGTGGACAGAAAACAGGTTTTTTTTGCGCAAAAACAGCCTATTGAAAGAAGCACAGGTGCCCTGGTAGCCATTCTGTTTATAGCAATCAGAGCTTTCTTGCGAGAGAGCATCCATGAAGTCTGGGCGCTCTCTTGCACTGAAGCGCATTGCTTTTGCGATACACTTTTGTAGTGTGGATGCACTTTTGCGCAAAAAGTTTTCACGGAAGATCTCTTCCACAAAAAGCTTCTTGCGCAAGAAACATGCTATGTAGGTGTAGCCTGAATACCACACTATGAAGCTGGTTTAAATCTGTTTAATGTTGGAGTGACTGGGTTATGTCAACACCACTGATTGTTGGGCTCATATATTCCATCTAAATTAAAACAGTAGATATCTGTCCCCTATAATGCATGAAGGTTTATGTTTAGCAACTATGTACAATGTTATTATGTAACACAGTAATGTATTTATCATACTAATCCCTTTTTGTATTATCCTTGGAAAACATGAAACAAAAATTCTTGATCTCTTTTGGCTATTGGAGTCTTAGTTTTATCTGTGTTAGGCCCTGATTCTGCAATCAGATCCTTAACAGCCCATAATAATACAATCTGATAGTAAATGAACAGATACTGGAGGCAAATGAAGAAGAGGGGGCAGACATGGCAACTGCAATACACAGTGAAACCAATGAACTGTAAGATTTTTGAAATATTGATAATTTTCTTCATTTTTCCAGTTCCAGGTAGTTCACTTAAATGGGAGGAGGTTCAGTCTAAGGCCAGACACTTGCTGCTGCACACATTTGGAATGTATAAATGTTCTGTCCAGCTTCAGAGTTACAAGCAAGAAGTAAACAAGACTTGTACAGGTTGTCAGAGTTCCAGTGCCTAATTTCATACATTTTGGGAACTGCTGCCTTATTCTTTATCTTGTAGTCAAAGACTAAAGAGCAATAAATGCAAAACTAAAATGATTGCCTGGAATCCCTAAGGTGTGGAGTTGTACCAGTATTTGATGCCAGAATTGGTACAGCAAAAAGTGCAGGAGGTGCCCTATAGAGAAATGTATTTGCTCTCTCTCGTTCTTACCAACTTATTGTCAGTTTGATATGATTTTCAGACAAAGGTATTTCCACAGTATTGTTTACAGACTGTGATATGGCTCTGCAAATACCTCATGAATTTCACTTCAATATTGTCCTTTGTCAATTATGTACCACTAATGTTCCAAATGGAGCATAAAGAATTCAGTATTGGAGTTTAAAACTTTGAAAAAGTTGATTGTCAGGGGACCATAACACATAAAGATCCCTAAAATGGTTATACAGTATTTTTATAATGCAGTTTTTAATATATTATCTTGGAAGATAATGTATGCAGTGCTAGCTAAACTATTTGATAAACTCTCTTCTGAAAAATTGCCAAATATAGAATTTACTGTACTCATACCAGAAATTTAGATTTAATGCTGGAATTCAAAGGTCTAAATCAAGAGGTCCTTGTCCAGGCAAAATTTCAAATGCCAAATTAGAGACTTCAGGACTGGACTGAAAATGTTTTAACTGATCAGTTACCTTCCACTTATTTTAGTATGGCATTTATACCTTACAAGCACTTATTTATTTTACAAAGTTTTGACTCTTAAAATGATTTCATTATTAGTGAAATTAAATATTTAAAATATTTTAACTTGATTCAGAGGCCACTTAATTAGCATTAATTCTAATTAGAACAAATAAATGAGCTGTAGGAAACATTTTTCATGATTATTTTGCATTATGAAAAGAAAATTATAAAACCACGTTAAGTATGAATATACTCTCGTATAATCAGATGTGCAACATTCTATAGATATTCTAAGAGGAAAGTAGGGAGGAGAGATTTCAGATACATTATGTTCCACAAACCTAGAAATGTAATAATCTTTTAATTTCATCTTTGCATTTCCTCTAGAGAAAACCATTCTGTACATGATATATGATGTTGAGAATTCCAGTGAAATGTTAGTGATCAACTATACCATGGAGCCTCATTTTATTAAAAAACCCATGACCTCTATAATTCATTTTTCTTTTTTTCTTTTTACCAATCTTCTGCCAGAATCCTCCTTCCTGATCTGTGTTGGGTAGAGAGCCGCTAGCTCCTCTGCATGGATCACACTCTGGTGGGCCTTTTTTTGCATTGGTATATGGAAGATGCAATCAGGAATGGGAATGGTAGGACATCCTAGTTGTGTTTCATGGTACTACAAAACCCATAAAACTGAATCTCGAGGGGCATGTCAACGTTATTCTGAAATAACAAAGAGCACATCTACACAGCAAGCCATTATTTTGAAATAATGGCAAGCTAGAGGACTACTCATTCCGATTCCTGTAACTCTCATTTCACAAGACGTAAGGGAAGTTGAAGGGAAAGTGTTCTTCCTTCCATTTCCTGCTGTGTGTATAGCACCAAAAGCCGAATTAAGGTATTTCAATTTCAGTTCTGCAATTGAGAGAGAAAATTAATTGTTTCTAGTTAAGATACACACTGACTTTCAAAGTAGACTATCATGGAAGTTGCACTTTTGCCTTGCTCTGTAGATGTGCCCACAGTCTATAGATCCTCTGCACTTTCACTTTATAGGGAGCAAATTTAAACTCTGATTCAGATCTGCCTGTGGTTATAACCACCATGTATCCTCCTCACTAAAGGCTAAAGAAAATTAGGATGCAAAAGCTGAAAATAAAACCAGAATTTGGCCTCATATTTTTGTTGCACTTTGAGCTCTATCCAGAACTTTCATTCCCATCAACAACAGTTCTGTGCATGAATCAAAAAAGATAACTTTTGCCATACATTGACAGCTTTGCTGTTCAGCTGTATATACCAAGGCAACCAACTGTTTTGAGACTTGCTGTTGTTCCATATTTTCATCAAACTGATTTGTAGTTGCAGTTAGGACTAAAATACGGCTTGTTTGCTTTCTCTTGAGGTAGAGAATCCCATTGTAAAATTTCAGAGATACTAATTAACAGCACAGTATTAGTTTGGACAAAGCGCACATAACACTGGATTATGTTTGTATTTCTTCCAATAAAGAAGGGGAACATGACAATACAGTATGCCAGCACCTTCCACTAAGAGGTAGAGTACCAGTGTCTTTGGGAAGCTAATGTTTCAGTTCATACCGTGTATCACCAATTAAGCCATATCACAGTTTATGAAAAATTGGTGTATCCTTTCCATATGAACTTTCTGAAAACCAGGTATTTTGCACATATTGGCTAGTCAAGTAGGATTTTATGAAGTTGTGGTTTACAGTCAATGTAGTTAGAACTTGGAGTATGATAAACTTGTATTGTATTTGGAGTTTTTTATTGTATGATGTACTATACATTTGTTTAAAAACAAACAAACATACGTTGCTTTACGTTGGATATATTAAACCAGTTATTAAACTACACATTCCTGTCTTATAAAATATTTATTTATAATGCTGGCTCCAGCCTATTTCTTTTGATTCCTCTTCAAATATGTTTTATAGTATTCCTTTCATGAAGTCTTAGGTTAACTCAGTTTGAGGTACTATAGTTAGATCTCTGGCTCACCTCTGTGTAGAGGGTCATCAGTCTTTTGTCTTCCTCATAGTGCTTATGCTTCTAAAGATATACACACATGTTAAAGGTTGTTCTTTCTTTTAAGTACCAAGCAAGACCATTCTTGGAACACTGTGTTTGGGAAAGAGATACAGAAAAGAGCAACAAAAGGCTGGAGACATCCTAGACTGCTGATTCCATTGTCCCATCTCATAGATACCTCTCAAATACAGATAATTCTTGTAGCTCCTTCTAATTACACTCAACTGTAATAACTGAGTGTGGATCACTGAATGAAAATTTATATTTGATTGTCCTGCCTCCAGACTTTTACTATGTCTTTACAAAATAGTCAGGGTAAAGGGTTTTCTTTTATCCCTTTGTATTTTACTTGAGTGAGCACTGTATTGAGGGCAGTTCATTATTAGCCTTTATAACATAATAACCCCAAGGTAATAGCAATGCAGTAATATATTTGTTGCTGTTTTTAATGCTCAGAACAATGAAATAAATTAATCGGAATAAAGGTATAAAAACACTAAAGTAGGAATGTCTATTACAGAAGGTAATTGGGATGTTTCCTGGAGATAGTGAGGTATGTCGCACTCCTGGGTACCCTACACCCTTTGCATTAGAAAGATCTGTCTTATTTTCTCGAGGGTCAGTTCCCTAACAACCTTGGCTGCAGAAAGCTTAAATACTCCCCTCTCAATCCATGCAGGCCCTGCTGTCTCTTCACAAATTAACTCCCAAGCATCCCTTTGGGGTGCCCAGCCCCTGTTCTACTGGACACACAGAATTCACAGATCTGCTATTGCCAAGGGCATAACACACACCGGCTTATCCGTCTCACCTCAGGACACAGGTCGGCTTCACATGTAACACTTTGAATTAGAGAGAAAGCAAGGATTTGTCTGATCTAGCAAAAATTGAAAATACTGCTGTTTTTTTCAAAAAAGTCCCATTTCGAAAAAAGTGGCGGCTGCCATAATGCAAATGAAGCACGGGAAATTCAAATCCTGGCTTCATTTTCAATATCGACGTGCCTAATTTACATCCCTTTACCGAAAAAGGGATGTAGTCTAGACGTACCCCAAGTGTTTCAAAATGGATTCCTCGAGGACCTGCTCATTGATTTTTCCAGGGACTGAGGCTGGCTGGTCTGTAGTTTCCCAGATCCTTTTTAAAAAAGATGGACATTACATTTGGCTTTTTCCAATCATCCAGGATCTCCCCTGACCACTACCATTTTTTTCAAAGATAATGGCCAAAGGCTCTGCAATCACATTAGCCAACTCTCTCAGAACCCTCAGATGAATTAGATCCAGCACCATGGACTTGTGCACGTGCAGATTTTCTAAATTGTCCTTAACCTGTTCTTTCACTACTGATGGCTGCTCGCCTCCCCATACTGTGCCACTCTCGCAGCAGTCTGGGAGTTGATCTTGTCTGTGAAATCTGAGGCAAAAAAAGCATTGAGTACTTCAGTTTTTTTCCACATAATCTGTTGCTAGGTTGCCATCCCCAGTCAGTAAGGGTTCCACACTTTCCCTAACCACCTTCTTCAGGAGCAACGTTGTGGGGACATTAGGGGACACATGCCCCCTCCTCAAATGCCAGGTGCAGGAGGGGTAAGGGATGGCCAGCAGCCAGCAAGGCAAGAGTTGCCGGGTAGCCTGGGGGACTAACCAGAGCAGGAGGGGCTGGCTCCCACTACAGGGGTTCACCCCTCTCTGTGCTTACCAACATTGGAGGGAAAAGCGGAGCGATGCGGCTGGAGGAGCAGAGCAAGCTGGGGCCACATTGCTCTGCTTCCCCGCTGCTGCTGGTGAGTGCGAGAGGGACTGAGACCCCCCTCCACCAGTCCTTCAGTTTGCATCACTCAGAGAAGGGGGGGGGAGAAGAGTTGAGGGGAGTGGATCAAAGGCTGTTCTGTTTATTCACTCTGAACCATGGGGCTTTATGAAAATTGGCTTGTGAATATGAAGATGCATAATTCAAAGACACTTTAGGCAAAATGCATCATAAGACATGTCATTTTAAAAGTTACAACCTGCTGAATGTGTATATTCTATTTCTGTGCATATATCATTCTTATATGTGAGGTTAGAAATATGAAGCATAGATCTATTTATAAGTTCAAATGTGGTAATGAGGCCATTATTGATACTCTGGAAACATAAGAGGTTAGTATTCTAGATAATGATCTGTAAATGCAACAAGTAGTCCTGGACACCTTTGAGGCTAATAAAAATACACAGAATCATGAGCTTTCATGGGTAAGATCCGTTTCTTCAGATGAGCTGGATCTGTAAATAGTTTTGTTTTTCTTGTAAGCCCAAACTGTGGTTGGTCCTAGAAAGACATGTGATCATGCCATCTGACACTAGAATCCATCTTGAATTTGGTATTTTTTTCCTTGAGGATGGGAGACTAACAAAGGGTTCCATGCTGAGAGGAAAGTCTGTTTAAGGAATTGAAAGCAATCAGGCTTTTTTTCTTTATCTGGCTTTTAAAACTGTCTTCTCAATTTAACACGTGAAGAAACCTCAAAACAAAAACTCTAAAGAACTGTAGACCTAGGCCAGAGAGAAAGAAAAAACTCTGTCTTGATAGATTTTACCTTAATCAAGGACAAGGAGCGAGGAACATACTTTGAAACAATTTCTCTTAGGTTGTATCAACACTATGCAGAAGATCAACACTGCGGCAGTTGATCTTCTGGGGTTCAATTTAGTAGGTCTAGCGAAGACCTGCTAAATCAAACTCAGAGGACATCTCCATCAGCACTGGTACTCATGATCCTCATGAGTTGCATATCTTAATTCAACCTTCCACTGTAGAATGGACCAGGCCTTAGTGTATTAGACTTAATTGGCATGTTTTGTTTATTTTGGCTTAGTAATTTACTTAGATCTGTCCGTTTTCACTTGCAATCACTTAAAATCCTGCTTTTTATACTTAATAAAAACACTTTTGTTTATCATCAAACCCAGTGTAAATAATTGTTATCTTGGGGAAGCAACCACTGTGCATATCTCTCTTGCATTGATAAAGAGGGCACATTTTGTAAAACTTGTACATAGAGCGAGTCAGATTTATTTGGGTTTTGGTCCTCTTCGGGGCTGTGTTCATGGTTGCTGTCAATGACCTTATGTCTGAGCCCTCCGACAGCCAAGCTAGTTTAGCATCTGTGTTATTCTGATGGGGGGACTGTTACCACAACTCTGTGCCTTGGCTGGGGGAGACCAGAGCTTCTGACTCAGAAGGACAGGGTTGTGGGGCACACCAGAGAGCAGGCAGGCAGGCGGGCTATGTGGTATGACCAGCACACCAGGTGGCAACACCAATGGGGGCCTCTATGATCCAACTGGGCACTGGGTACTGGACCATTATTCTGACCCAAATACTTAAAGAACTAACTACTACATAAATGAAGACTAGTGAGACATGACATACTTTGTTGCAAAAGAGGTTAATTTAGTTTACAATCAATTCTGGGAAGTTATTTCCTGTATGTGTCAGTTAATCATTGTCTATTTTTACAGTCAGATTGCCTGATAATTCAGGTAGGTGTGTCTGACCTCCTACTTGGCAGTGGTTAACATCTACTTTGTTATGTCTTTATGTTTGGTCAGCGTGCCATAAAAAATTCTCAGAGGCAGGTGATCTTTATTCTTTTCTGTTCTGTTTTTACTTTTAAGGCTAAGTCTACACTGGCTCTTACAGCACTGTTAATTACTGGCTGAGGGGGTGTGAACTCCCCTCCCCCCAAAGTGCAGCAAGTTACAATGCTGTGAAGTTCCAATGTGAACCAAGCTATAACCAGGGCCATCTCCAGGGGGGCCTGTGGCCAGGTGCCAGGGGCAACTCCCCTGTTCCAGCCCTGCTCTGCCCACTCTCTGTCCCCACTTCACCTCTTTTCCCATTCCTGGCCCTGCTCCACCCACACCACACGCCTTCAGCCCCTACCCCTCTCCCGAGCTATGGGATTACCAGGCCCAAGCAACAGCAGGATTTCCCTGCACACTTACCATGGTGGCCAGAGCAGAACAACCTGGCAGCCAGAGCATGCTCCACCATGGTGCCCTCCCTCCCAGCCACCTGTACCTTGCTTCTCTGCGGCAGCAGGAAGTGGAGCACCATGGCACTCAGGCGCTCTGCTTCCTGCTGCCGTGGAGAAGCCAAGTGCAGTGGGCCACGAGAGGGTGGCATGGTGGGGTGGGATGGAGCAGGTTGCTATGGCTTCTGCCACCCTGGTTAATGTGGGGGAGGGGACCCCTCTGCTGCCCAGCACCAGGCCTGTCCATAGGATAATTGAGGCAGCCACCAGAGGGCCCCCAAAGCGCAGGATGGTAAAGGGTGGCCACCCTTTATCATCCTATGGACAGACTGGCTCTGGCTACAGTGCTGGGAGCTACGCTCCTTGTGCTGTTAGCTACTCCCCTCGTGGAGGTGGTTTACACAGAGCGCTGGGAGAGATCTCTACCAGTGCCCGTGCCACCATGGTCACACAGTCAGTTTGAAAGCATCTGACAAAGTGGGCTCCCTCCAGCCCACAAAAGCTTATGCCCAAATAAATGTGTTAGTCTTTAAGGTGCCACAGGACTCCTCGTTGTTTTTGCTGAAACAGACTAACACGGCTACTCCTCTGAAAAGAGCTGAGATACCCACTTCCCATAGAAAGTCAGTAGCATCTAATACCATTTGAAAATCTCCTTCCTGTTTACTTTTCTAAAGCAAATCAGGAGAAAGCAGCTTTCCTAGAGCACCACCCTAGATTTTAAGGAGACACTTACTAAAATGGCTTGCTCCCCCTACTGTCTTTCTACTCTAATTGCTCCACAGCTTGTAGACTCCTCAGTGCAGGAATCATAGACTAATTTAATTTGAGAGGGGTCTTCCACACTTTTGGGAGATGCTAAAGATAACAGTGACCCTTTGTGTTTTGTTATTTATATAACGATAAAGCCACTAGAAAGAGGGCCCTAAATAAAAAATCACTACCAATCTGGATCTCAAGTCTCCTACACTAGAGAACACTTTGTTCCCTTTTCCTGTCATGTTACTACTATATGTTTCCTCTTTCTCTCCATTCTGTTCTGTTAAGCACTGCAATGAAAGGGCAAAAGAACCCAGGCAGTTTGCTCTTTGGAAAACAGCTGGTGATAGCGGTACAAGACCAAGTCACTTAAGTGCTGAATGAAATGCCTATTTTAGTTATGTGGCTTCAGAGTAAGGCTGTGTCTAGACTACATGGCTCCATCGACGGAGCCATGTAGATTAGGTTTGTAGGCAAAGGGAAATGAAGCGGCGATTTAAATAATCGTGGCTTCATTTAAATGTACATGGCTGCCGTGCTGAGCCGACAAACAGCTGATCAGCTGTTTGTCGGCTCAGCACGGCAGCCATGTACATTTAAATGAAGCCACGATTATTTAAATCGCCGCTTCATTTCCCTTTGCCTACAAACCTAATCTACATGGCTCCGTCGATGGAGCCATGTAGTCTAGACACAGCCTTACTCTGAAGCCACATAACTAAAATAGGCATTTCATTCAGCGTGATGTAGCCATAAAAAGTGTCCTCTACTTGGTATAATTTTTAATTGATCATATTGCTCCTATAGAGCCAGCTTTTGCTTTGTCCATGGAGTTCATCCATTTCTTTTCCATGGGAACAGGACCTGACCCATAAGCCATTTTATATAACAAGTAGCCTGTTTTTTTAAACTTAAGCCTTCTCTAGGGTACGTCTACACTACATGGCTCCGTCGACGGAGCCATGTAGTGTAGACGTACCCTAGAGAAGGCTTAAGTTTAGGAAAACAGCTACTTGTTATATAAAATGGCTTATGGGTCAGGTCCTGTTCCCATGGAAAAGAAATGGATGAACTCCATGGACAAAGCAAAAGCTGGCTCTATAGGAGCAATATGATCAATTAAAAATTATACCAAGTAGAGGACACTTTTTATGGCTAAATTAAAGGGTGATGAGTGCATGATAGATGGGTGTTCCCAAAACTGTTGCTTCCCAGACTGCTGCAGGACACAGCACAGCATTGGCAGGAGGTGGGGAGCCCTCAATGGAGAGAGAACAGTTAAAGAACTATTTAGAAAAGCTGGATATACACAAATCCATGGGGCCGGCTGATGTGATTACAGAGCCATTGGCCATTATTTTTGAAAACTCGTAGTGATCCGGGTTGATCCCGGATGATTGGAAAAAGGCAAATGTAGTGCTGATCTTTAAAAAAAGGGAAGGAGGATCTAGAGAACTACAGACCAGTCAACCTTATCTCAGTCCCTAGAAAAACCATGCAGGGGGATCCTCAAGAAATCCATGTTGAAGCCCTTGGAAGAGAGGAAAGTGATCAGGAATAGTCAACACAGATTCACCAAGGGCAAGTCATGCCTGACCAATCTGATTGCTTAGCTCCTTGGCTATGGGGAAGGAGGAAGATGTGATATAACATGACTTTAGAAAAGCTTTTGGTACGGTGTCCCACAGTATTCTTGCCAGCAAGTTAAAGAAGTATGGCTTGGATGAATGGATAAGGTGGATAGAAAGTTGGCGTGATGGTTTGTGACCAATGGCTCAATATCTAGTTGGTAGCCAATATGAAACAGAATGCCCCAGGGTTGAACTTGAGGCCAGTTTTGTTAAACATCTTTATTAATGACCTGGATGAGGGGATGGATTGCACCATCAGCAAGTTTGCAAATGATACTAAACTAGGGGGAGAGGCAGATATGCTGGAGGGTAGGGATAGGATCCATAGTGACCTGGACAAATTGAAGGATTGAGCCAAAAGAAATATGATGAAGTTCAACAAGGACAAGTGCAGAGTACTGCACTTGGGGCAGACGACTCCCAAGCACTGCTACAGGCCGGGGACCTTGGGATTACAGTGGATGAGAAGCTGGATATGAATCAACAGTATGCCCCTGTAGCCAAGAAGACTAATGACATATTGAGGTGCATTAGTAGGAGCATTGCCAGCAGATCTAGGGAAGTGATTATCCCTTTATTTGGCACTGGTGAGCCCACATCTGGAGTATTGCTCCAATTTTGGGCTCCCTATTACAGAAAGGATGTGGACACATCAGAGAAAGCACCTAATTATAGTACAGGCAGTCCCCGGGTTACGTACAAGATAGGGACTGTAGGTTTGTTCTTAAGTTGAATCTGTATGTAAGTCGGAACTGACGTCCAGATTCAGCCGCTGAATCTGGATGCCAGTTCTGACTAACATACAGATTCAACTTAAGAATCCCAGGCATCCCCAAGTCAGCTGCTGCTGAAACTGATCAGCGGCTGATTCCAGGAAGCCCCAGGTAGAAGCCTGGGGCAGAGCAGCTGGGGTGCTGCTTACGTCGGATCCGCACTTACGAACGGGGCTTTCTTGCCCCGGAGCTCGCAGGCAGCGGGACCGCCCAGAGCACAGCGGTCCCACCACCTCGACCTCCGGGGGAAGAAAAGCTGCTCCGGGTGCCCCATGTCTGCTGGGAACCATCTCCAGCAGACCAGGGACACCCGAAGCAAAGCCGGGGAGGCGGAGGGGTCCCCAAGTTGCTAATGAAGCGTGGGATTTAAATATCCCGCGCTTGATTAGCATATTCGCGGATGGTCGCCAATTTAAAATGCCAGTCGCCCAAATTAACTTGCCACGTGTAGACACTGTAGTCCGAACCAAAACCCTTCCCTCGAATTAACTGTTACTCCTCATTAACTCCTCATTTTTGCTCTGCAAAGCAAATTTGTTTATATTTTAGACAAATCTTTTCCTTCTAAGGCTTAGCCGCAGCGGCGCGGGACCCCTCCACCTCCCCGGCTTTGCTCCGGGTGTCCCTGGTCTGCTGGAGACAGTCCCCAGCAGACCAGGGGCACCAGGAGCAGCTTTTCTCGCCCCGGAGGTGGAGGTGGCGGGACCGCGGCGCTCTGGGCGGTCCCGCTGCCTGCGAGCTCTGGGGCGAGAAAGTCCCGTTCGTAAGTGCGGATCTGACATAAGTCAGATCCGCGTAACTCGGGGACTGCCTGTAATGGTGTCCCTGGTCTGCTGGAGACAGTCCCCAGCAGACCAGGGGCACCAGGAGCAGCTTTTCTCGCCCCGGAGGTGGAGGTGGCGGGACCGCGGCGCTCTGGGCGGTCCCGCTGCCTGCGAGCTCTGGGGCGAGAAAGTCCCGTTCGTAAGTGCGGATCTGACATAAGTCAGATCCGCGTAACTCGGGGACTGCCTGTAATTCATCTTTTAAAATCTGATGGCTCTTCTGTGTAAAACATTAGTAAGAATGCTTCATGATAAAATAATCCCTACAGAAAGTGCCTCTCTATTTTGTAGATATTATTCCTTTTCATCCCTCCCTCCATGCCACAGAAATCACAATTCTGAAGTAAAGCTAAGCTTTCCTTAATACTTGTTGTTAATTCAGGATAAAAGTTGTCAGAGCCAGATCATGTTTCTTCTGTTTACCAGTAGATGGTGCACTAATCCTCCATTTTAAAAATAGGTGTGTACTGGGTGTAACCATGATGAATCACTTCCAGATTCATTAAAGAAAATGTTCTCACTTCAGATTTTAGGGTTAGGATTTAAATTTTAGTCCAAGAGGGATATTTTGTTATGCCATTTTAGGCATACTTGGATTAATTTGGATTAAATGAATAATGTGGCAAACGTAACACTGAATTGCTAACCAGAAAGTGGGAAGTAGGCTTACATATTCATTAACATGATTGTAAAGAGCCTCTCTCCAGTCCTAAGTATACTAATGAAAACTGTGAGTAGGAATACATTGTGGCTACAGGTAAATGAAATACAATGACACATTTACTTGTGGACAATTTGCTGTGGTCTGAGTCATTTGTTTGGGTGGAAGTAATAGTTGTTGCTATGTGATGTTAAATTCATATTTTGTATTCCTCACAGTGTGTAGCCTTTAATTTGAAACAACCTGCTTTTCTTCATTTAGAAGACACTGACAACATACTGAACTGAAAATGCACCTCTAGAGAAGAAGTCTTTTCAATGATAACTCTGAGGAAGTGGGTTTTGCCCATAAAAGCTCATGATACTCAAGCCCATACATAGGAATTTCTGTAGGGTGTGTGTGGGTTTTTTATAAATGTGGATCACAAGGGTGTGAGTGTAAGTAAGTGGGGAAAGCAGCCTCAGCCTTCCCCCAACCCCCCAGAACATGGGGGAGGGAGGCTCGGGCAGCCAAAGCATGCTTACTTGGGGAAAGATGAGGGGTGCTTTCTCACCCTGTACACACACACCCTCCCGCCCCAGACGGGCCTGATACTGTATATATATATATATTTGTTAGTCTCTAAGGTGCTACAGGACTACTTGTTTTTTAAACAACTTCACAAAATGGTATGGATTTATTGATACTACCAGTATAAAATCTGTCTTCTGTTGGGCTGTAGTCACAGACTGTAAATAAGCAAAACAAAAAGTCAGTCAGACAGGCGATCTGAAAGACTCAAAACCACAGCTTCCTTCCCATAACATGTTCTTTCATTTCTTTGCTTCAGTTTCAAGAGATTAAGCAATCCTGTATTTTACAGCAGTGCAGAAATCTTAGCTCTAATAGAAACACACCCCTTGTTTAGAAAGAGTAAATTGCACAATCAAATAGAGGGATTCGTCATTTATAGCTATAATGATTTCTTTCATTCATGAACTAGTCAGAACAAAATATTCTGGTCACCAAACAAACAGTTGCTTTGACTTGCTAGCTGTCTGATTCTCTATAGTCCATAATCTTCTATTCTCTATGATAACAAACATACAGCAGAGAATTAAATAAGCATACCAGATTTATTGAAATTCATTTAATCACAAATTGCTGCAAAGTAAGTTTTATTTTCTATACAGCTGCACTTGAGGACAATCCTGAAACACACCACAGAATGTAATTTGCATGAACTGTGTTTGCAATGCAGAAATGAAACAAAACACAATGCACAGCAATTCCACCCTCCATATTTATTGCAGTCCAACTTCTAACTTGTACCACAGTAATATAACTAATATTCTCAGTTACAGCAGTTTCCAGGAGCATTATAAGAAGTGGAATCACATACTTTTCCCTTAGAATTTATGCTTTTGTGCTGCTTCTTTCTTGCACTGACACCTGCATTTAATCTCTTACTTCTCTGTTCCTTTTATCCGTATAACCACTTACGTTCTGCAGCTGATACAAGGTGTGTGTGTGTGAGAAGGAGAGAAGGAGTTGGGGACTAAAGCAGATAAAATTGGCTCATTGGGGGGTATGTCTACACAGCAGCATTATTTTGGAATAATTGATGTTATTTCAAAATAACAGAGTGCATGTCTACACAGCAAGCCATTATTTCAAAATAATGTTGAGTTGGAGGACTTCTTACTCTGATTCCTGTAACCCTCATTTCATGAGAAGTAAGGGAATTTGAAGGAAGAATGTTCTTCATTCGACTTTTTGCTGTGTGGACAGTGCCAAAAGCCAAATTAAGCTGTTTCGACTTCAGCTATGCAATTGATGTAACTAAAGTTGCATATCTTACTTTGACTTTTGCCCTGCTGTGTAGATGTGCCCTGGGAGACCAAGATACCAATTGAACAATATTAGACTATAGCATGTTATCATGCATGCATTCTGGCATGAACATTTTAATATTTCTGGGCCAATTTTGCCCTCTTTAATTGAAGTCAATGACAGTTTTGCTGAAGGACTGCAGCATTTGACCTTGTGTGTGTATATTACTGATTATTTGGGGAATCCAGATCAAGTCAGGGGTAGCAGCTTTGATTCATGCATCATGTTGATTATATTGCCATCTTTCACTTGACTTAGGTAAAAAAAACTACTCTTAGCCCTATCCCCTTATGCAGACCATACCTGTTTATGGTAACAAAGGAACTAGAAGACTGTCACTCCGTCCCTTCCATCTCTCCAGGCCTTGGGCCTCCATTTGTCCCACTAGGCTCTTGCTTGGGAGGATAGAAAAAGCAAGATTAAAAAAGGGCCATTCAGCTTTTGATATTAGTTGAACACCTAATTCTCCACTTTGTTATATAGGCATTCTCCCCAATAGAATCCTGATAGTTTCAGTGGAGTCACACTGAGATAAAAATGGAGCAAGAAAGTGGAAGATCAAACCCTTAATCATATTTCACTGGTTCTACATTATGCGTATAATCATTTATTAAAACTCATCTAATTGAGACATTTTATTTCCCCTAACTTCAAAACACCTCCAATTTACTTCATCATATGTTCATCTCTAATCATGTTAATCCCTCACCATTTAGTCTCTGCTAAATAATGCTCATCATTTCTGTGGTATAGTGAAAGATACACATTTAATACAGGAGATAGGAAGGCCAAATTCTGTAGTCCTTTGTGGAGTAAAACTGCAATTGACTTCAACAGGAGCTTACCTTAATTTAGGACTGCAGATTTAGCCCCATGGAATCATACTTGAGGGAGTGTCTGTGTCTCTTCTAAACAGGTTTTTCAGTTATTTCTATTTCTTAACAGCTAGACAAACAGAAACTTAAGTGACTCTTTATTTTGCATATTGCAATAGGTTTCACTTCAAGTTAATGTACATGCAACTACTTGAAGAGGGAGACATTGACATCCCAGATTTCCAGTGTATTTTTTCTAAAAAGATTACATATATCAAAATGAGATGTGATGCCCACTTAAATCAATAGGAAAACTGCCCAAAAGTCAAGTTATTCTTTTAAATGTAGCATTATAACTCATCTAATTTATAATAAATATCTGTAAGCTTTTGGTACTAAGGTAAAGTACAGAAATAACAATGATTATAACAATGATTTTCCTTCATGTTTCTGCTGCTGCTATCAAGGCAGAAGCTGCAGTCATTTATCAAGCCAAATGCTCTCTCACTATAACACAGGCTTCCACCAATTGCAACACACTTCACAAGGGAGACACATACGATGTAGCAGGAACAGTGTAATGCTATAGTATTTTTACCATCTGTGAGATCAGTCAAATGGCAGTCATATAATAGAATGAAATATTATTTGTCTCTTCTCTGATCATCTCTGTAAGCAGCTGCAAAGTCACTTGAAAGTATGCGGTCATACTTTAAAAAATTAATAGTATGGTATTATTGAGTTTTAAGAAGATTCACACCGAAAGGAGTATTGTATTATTATATGGAATCTACTATACATTGAGGCAGTTTGTGTGTCTGTCTAGCTGTCCATTTATTCAAGAAACCCTCCTAAATGGTAATACAGGCCTGGGCAAAATACGGCCCGTGGGCCTGATCCGGGCTGCCAAGCCACCGGATCCAGCCCGCGGAGGCAATGGGGAGCCCTAGGCAGGCTCCTCTGCTTGCCCGGCAGCCCCACACACTGCTCAGAAACATGGCTGCGGGGCACTTTCTCTTTGAGTCTGGAGGGGAAGATTCAGATGCTGCGCCCGCCCTCAGCACAATCCCATTGGCCAGTTTCTGGACAGACACTGGCCAATGGGAGCTGATTGTTTGAATAACAGGCAGCAACAAAGCACAACCCTCCTTCCTGCTCACTCACTCAAGCACATGGTCAAGCAGGCAGAAACTTTTTAAGCTCTGCAAGCCTTTAGCTCTGCAGGCAGGCTGGTAAGTCTCCTGGCAAGAACCTTCCTCTGGCACCTCAGCCCCTCCCTTCCCCAACCCTCTGCCCCACTATTCCACATGTATTCATACCCCCTCCCAGATCTGGTACCCCATCTCCTGCCTGAGATCACAGTTTCCTCCTACCCTAGGTCACATCCCAAAACCCTGCACCCCAATTCCATACCCTAGGTCACAACCACCTCCTATATCCAAACTCCCTCCCAGGCTCCATTCTCCCTTCTGCACCCCAGTCCTTTACCCCAACATCCTCTCTACACCCCCAGATCCTGCATCTCCTCCATTAATACCATGGAAGAGTGAGGTCCTTGACCACTTTCCAAAATCTTGGGAGAGGCTGATCATCAAAAATTACTGCCCACCACTGTGGTAAGAGCTAGGGCCACCATAGTCAGTATACAGCTTCCTCTTATAACTTAAAGCAAGGTCAGGGTTTGGTTGTGCCAGGAAAATGGGATCTGCCTGAAGTGGGATTGCTTCTCATGAAACCATACAGAAAAGAAACAATCACCAGGCAGGTGATAGAGTCTGGGTAGAGTCCTCTGCCACCTGGGACTGCCCCAGTCCCGAGCCACTCACCTCCAGACACCCTTTAAGAAGAGCAGAAGGGATAAAGCCCCACCCCCTATTTGTATGGGGACATTGCTCGCTGTTTCTGTTTGTCAGGGAGCAAGGGGAAAGTGCACAATTTGCTGAACTCCTCACTCTACCTAGGGAGCACAAGGCGTAGACAAACCTGGACTTGACCCAGCTGGGGACACACACCTCTCCCCTGGTTCTGCTTACTGCATCAGCCATGGAGAAGTACCCCAAGTGGCTGTCATGAAAGAGGGCTGAGGTAGTCCTCTCTCGCTGGAGAAGCCTATATACTGAGCCCCTCACTACCAGCCCAAAAGCAGTGATTAAAATGAGGCATGTACATTTTCATTTTCTTTTCTGAGGATCCATGCAATGTCAGTTATATCTCCTAGTATTCTTATACAGGCAGTCCCCGGGTTACGTACAAGATAGGGACTGTAGGTTTGTTCTTAAGTTGAATCTGTATGTAAGTCGGAACTGGCGTCCAGATTCAGCCGCTGCTGAAACTGACCAAAAGCAGTGATTAAAATGAGGCATGTACATTTTCATTTTCTTTTCTGAGGATCCATGCAATGTCAGTTATATCTCCTAGTATTCTTATACAGGCAGTCCCCGGGTTACGTACAAGATAGGGACTGTAGGTTTGTTCTTAAGTTGAATCTGTATGTAAGTCGGAACTGGCGTCCAGATTCAGCCGCTGCTGAAACTGACCGC